CCGATACTCGCATATTAGCATAGAGTCTGACCTCTCTCAGAAAAAGCATATTACTGTTTGATACTTCATTTCTTTTCCATTAGATTATGACTGAAAGTAAAATTACCCAAATTAATCCTCCTTGGTCAGTTGATGGTTCAACTGCTATTGTAATCCATTTGATATTCCATCTTCACTTGATGCTTCATTGTTAGCTGGAGACACAACAGTAGGACAGTACACACTCTTTGCAATATCAAAACATCAACCAGTGCTAACTGAATAAGTAATCAACTGTAAACATAATTTAAGTTTGTTTATTTGTTTGTTTTTGCAATGATTAATTCCACACGTACGCGTACTAATCAGTTACAGAGGAATTTTACTTGCCCTCTATCGAGTCTAGCTCACCTTCTCCCTCCCCCTGCTCTAAACTTTTCGTTTCCATTAGATCGATCGAAACAAAGGCGAAAATATTGTCATGTCTCACCATTAGCTTTCTCTGCTGTTTTACTGTTCTGTCCTTACTGTTTTTCTTAGAATATCACTACACCCAATATTCTTTTCACCCTCTTGACGGTGACCACAAATGTTTTAAGTGCGTGGTCTCTGTGGTTAAACTGCATAAACACCTTTTTTCGCGTATCTTTTCCAACGAATCGTAACTCAAGTAACATCAGCATCACTAGCCTTTAAGACCCAGCATTGACCATTATGCTTTGGCGCCTCTGTTTTTGTTTTGGTTTACACGGTAGCGAGGTTTTTGTTGTTTTCCAATGCTCACAGCGCGAAGTGTATCCTGGACAAGACTGCCAGCGAAAGGTCAACGAACGTTTTGTCTACAAAATCAATCTTAGGCGTAAGTTACTCAGAGGAAGAGGATAGCCATGTAGATCTGTTTGCTTTTCGGAGATAGACTCCACCGGTTTCGTTCAGGTATTTTACTATTTACAGAATCACGTGATGTAAATAAGTTGATATGTAGTAAAGCCCAGTACACATATCACGTGATGTATTTTCAATCGGATAAAATATTGGGTGACTCAAGTCGGACTGTATACATGCATCTAATGATCTGGTACCTGTGTGTATCTGTCGTTATAGTTCACCACTAAATCTTCTTCGGCCGATTCTTATTGGTTTCTATTGATCACGTGACGAAATAGTGTTCATCTGCGGAGAGACACTATCAACCCATAGTGCGCCGTCCGAGGAAAATACCCGGATGGATAGTACTCGTCCGTAAAAATGTTTCTGTGAACAAGCGGGCTAATAGTAAACAATTGAAAGCAATCATCGAAAGTAAACAATCATCTGCATAAATTAGTTTAGTTAAATTTTACACTTGGCTTTTGCGCCTATCATTTAAAAACAGTTGCATATTTGCCCTCGAGCCTTCACTTCTCGGGCAAATATTTGTTTTAAGAACATCAATCATCCGCGGGGCAACTATCAGCCGACATTTCCTCGACAGAAACACGCAAAATAGCATGCGTACATACTACACATTCCTTAGATTTCTTAAATTTCTGTCTTATTTTACAGTTTACACGGATCCATGGATCGTGTGTCCAATCGATAGAGTAGAAGAACTTGAGCCAGACAAGTCCACAGTGGTGCTTGGATACAAGTGGCAGCTTCCGCGAACCAATATGAAGAACGTGACAGTATCGCCTAGCAACTATGATGAGAATTATCCTTTCCCTGTTGGCAGACACCGAGTCACGTGGATAGGAACCAGTGACAGTGGAACACAGAAGAGTTGTAGCTTCCATATCACTGTAAATGGTGAGCCGAACAGATTTTAGAGACTTTAAATAAATGCGATACTGTTTATTTAATCGCAGTCTTAGAGTAAATTTTTTGACATAGCACTTGATAGTAAACGAGATCTAAACTCCGCCTTGTTGTTATTTTTTCCAGACGTGACACCTCCCTCAGTCCAGAACTGCCCTGCAAGCATCGTAGATCGCTCCAACTCTCTGCAACAGGCCGTCACGTGGACACCACCAACATTCACCGATAATGTAGCCGTGGTTAGCGTACAGTCCAATCGTGATCCTGGATTTATCATGGACACGTACACGTCACTAACTGTACGATACACAGCTTTAGATGCTGCCGGGAATGTGGTTTATTGTATCTTTAACATCACCTTGGAAGGTAGTACCACGTTCCCACTTAAACTAACCATGATAAACAAAAATATATATCACTTTGAAACACGGAACAAAGAAAAAATAACTTGCAAGAACTGCTTGTTGTCATAAGGTCATGAAGTCCTTGAATATATCCTACACATTGGACGCCTTGCAATGCACTGAATAACCACAGTTTACGTAACTGAGAATGCAATTTGTGGAATAATGAAGCAAAGATCGTGATTATACTTTTAAAATATCATCTGATTTATCCAGGTGTCATGAAATTATTAAATTCTTAGCCTTGGACAAAACATTTCTAGCCTTCTGATTGCCCCTGTAAATCTGTATTTGACCTTATATAGGAAGTGAGTTATGCAAGTTTCTCTTCGATTAATATTTTTTGGCGGTAGACTTGTTCGTTTACCCTCCTTGGATAAGGGATGATTATGATAAACTCCGCGTTCTGCGCCTCGTTAATTGTTATTTATCATCTCGTATCCTGGGCGGACTCATAAAATATTGTTAAATATTCCTCGAGATTTCGCAGGATAATTATTCGAATTGTCACCTACTAGGGTCATTTGGGGGAGCGGGGATAGCGCAGTGGTGAGAGCGCTCGCCTCCCACCAATGTAGCTGGAGTTCGATTCCGGCCCAGTGCCATATCTGGTTGAATTTGCTATTAGTTCTCGCCTTGCTCCGAGGGTTTTTTCCTGGTTCTCCGGTTTTCCTCCCTCCACAGAAACCAACATCTCCAAATTCCAATCCGACCAGGATCGAGGACCGGCATGAAAACCAGCTAAGGGCTAATGTGGCTTCCTCTATAAATATTGTAATTTATTGATTTATTATTCTCTGTCAAAATGTCCAGTCACTAATAATCAGTTATGTCTTTAAAATATTTTTCAGGAGCAGTATGTCAGACCATCCCTAACCCCAAGAACGGCATTGCTGCTAAGTTTGGACTATTCCTACAGCTGAGGTGTGACCAGGGGTACTTCTTCAACCCATACCCTGCTGGATTACCAAAGTTATTCGAGAATCCTTTCTACAGATGTTTAGATAATAAGTGGGTGTCCCAGAACGACGGCGTGTCCATTCTGTACAAAGCTCCGGACTGCATGAGTAAGTCGTTTGTCTAAATATCATTGTTTTATACTGTAAGCATGCGGACCCTGGAGGAGATGATGGATAACAGAACTTATACTAATCCGCCATACAGGCCCTATATTACTAAATGCTATCCCTCTTAAGGACGTTGCGCACTAAATACAAAGGTATTTCGCCCGAAATGGGACTATGTGGGGGAAAAAATTCTCAGCAACGGTGATTTGAATCCGAAGAGAAAATTGAGGATAGCCACGCATTTTCAGAGATAATTAGCCTGAAGTTCGGACAAAAATGCTGACGTCAACATTTAAAAAAAAAAAAAAGAAGGAAGAGTATTTCTTTGATTATTTCCTTGGAATTCGCCTTTACGTACATAAAAACAAAGATATCTATGAAGACCTTTAAAACACCTAGCAAATGGTAACAGCGCTCTTAGCGTTTCCGACAGCTCTCCTCCAGTTTGTTAAATATACAGTCGAAACAGCTTTTACACACAGCCACAAACTCATCACGTGTTAAAATTATTAAGCTTTTTTTTATTGTTTTTTTTATTTTTGTTTGTATTTTTTGTTTTTTGTTGTTGTGTTATTATTGTGTTGTTGTGTTATTATTTGTAATTATTACGCTTGCCACTTCTGTATCATAAGGTAAAAAGTAGTGGTTTGTACGCGTTTTTGAATGCTCAATGGGTGGTTTTCATCTTTTTTCTTCGGGGATGGGGGTGGAAGGGAAATCGTTTAATTCATGCTTTGAATAAAACACAGAAAGTGTGTAACCAACAAAAGTTGGCACCGTCCTTACTGAGTATTTTAGATCGCTTCCAATCCTAATGCATAGATTTAGCCAAACCTAAAAGCGTAGCTCGTGGGCCGGGTTGTTCAGAGCCCGATTAAGCTAAACTAGAGTACGGGTAGAATTTTGATTTGAGTTTTCTTATTTTGAGGCGAGGTTTTCTGTATATTAATTGGCCTTCTGTTTTGAGTTTTCATAATCACAAAATACACTGACAAAACAAAAGGAGTGAAAAACGTTTGTATCGAACAAAAAAGTTATAATTTGGTTAACTTGTAATCCTGGATTAGCGTTAATCGGCTTCCGAACAACCCGGCCCTGTTTTCAACAAGTTAACCTAACACTAGCCCGCGATCCAATCAAAACCAGCACCTTGTCGGCGGTAAACTTAAAAAACACGTGACCTCGATGAGCTCTAAACTTAAGACCCTGATATGATCACGTGATACTGGTCAGTGGATACCTTGTTTTGGTAGGTGTCAATTGATCATAACATGCATGTCCAATATCGAAGAAGTACACGGTAAACCAAGGCTGCATGTCTCTGTCAACCTATCTTTTGGAGTATGGCCGCCATCTTGCGCGACTCCGTCGCCGCCGTCGCCGTCGTGCGTACGCGCCCACGAGCAATACCACTAGCCATGATAACCATGAGAAAATCAATACATGGGTTTCCTTTTCTTCCCTATATGAGTATGGGTCTCCCCTTGGCGACCCTCCGGGCCGCCGGAGCTCCGCTATGAACGAATTTTAGTCACGTGGGCAGCTCACGCGGCTCTACTCAGCGCGCATTTTATCCTCAAAGAAAACATCCACGCTACACGTGTGGCAACAGATTTCCGTGGGAGATTATGACGAACAGTACGTAAATATTAACAAGTCCTTACAGAACTCTGATTCAAGGCTTCACGTCAGACCATAGTTAATAGAGGGAAATGGTTGTGAAACCCAACAAACTTCTTTGTTTTATGTTTTTGTTTGCTTTTACGACCCTGACCGTGTATAAAACAATCAATTATCCACCAAGAAGATCTCGGATGCATACATTTAAAATTCTACGTGACGCACCCAGGCTACCCTACCTTCGCTTCCAATCCCACCACACAATGCTTGAATGAGTTGAATACCTGAATATACTAAGCACGGATAACTGGATTGTGTCCATATCTTAAATTACTCCTTACAGAACTCAGAAACCAATAGAAACATTTCGGTTAGGTAATTTTTACATAGTGTATGAGCGCAAAAGAAAAAATTTAGCACAGTTGTGGACCTTCCAACATCAATCTTGGCATCTTTGTTTCCTCCTTTGAAGTTTGTCGGACGTAATAAAAAAAAAATTGTTAACAGCGCACTTTGTCTCACCTTTATACAGCAGTTATTACGACTACGACGTTATTACGCCTGTCAGTACAGTAAGTGACCAATAGGAAACAGTTGAACACTATTACTGACTTTTTTTTCCTGCAGAGTATGTGACTTACACTGGTCCACCCTGTCAAGGTGGAACAATCCTATTGGACAATGCTGTATGCTGTAAGTATCACGTGACAATTGTGTTCACTGATTAAATTAGGTTATACTTTCATTTATCAAACTCCACTCTGAGAACTGCAGATAATAAACAACTATTGCAGATGGTTTTTCGTGATTTGAAGAATAATCGAGGCCGAAGTGAGTGTTATCAGGCGAAGGCTGACAACTCTTTGCGAGAACAAGATTATTCTGGATACCACGAAAAATCGAATTCGATAATTTATTTGTCACACATCGTTGCAAAAAACTCAGATCACAAGTTACATTATTTCAAACTTACGAGTGAAACCAATTTAACGCTCGTGTTTCCCTCACTTTTGCCGATGATTTTCGTCATTGGATACTCTTTTACTTCTTTTTTTACTGTCTTGACTACTTCTTTGGGTTTTTGTGGATTTTCCGCCACACACTAACCAACACTATCTCTACATTTTCGGTATTTCGTGGTCGGAAAGGCGATGGAAACAGAAAAACCTTACTAGACTTTTAATGCGGACAAAAAGGAAAGACTGCAGGCAGGGAGGCGTAGTGGCCTCCTGGTTAGTGTGCCCCTGGCCGGGGCATTGCGTTGTGTTCTTGGGCAAGACACTTTATATAATTTAATGAGTACCGGCGAACTTAATGATGGGGGTGACTCTGCAATGGACTAGCATCCCATGCAGGGAGGCTACAGAAACCGGGATAAGCTCCGGCCTGATGGGCCACTTGGAATTTATGTAGACTTCACCTTACCTGCAGGCAGACCATATTCCATTTGTTAATACGCCAATCTTACATTGCAATCTGGCCGGGCGCAATCAATTGTTTTTTTCAGATGGCGAGAGAATTTGCGTCATTTATCAGAACCAAAAGACAGTTTCATTGGCTTGGCGTAACTAATTTAGTACACTAGATGTTTATCATTTCGCCCAAATATCCTTTTGTTATAGTGAACTGTCCCCCTGGAACTCACAGCGACAACGCCACCAACACGTGCGTAGATTGCAACACTGGATTTTACATGGACGAGGAAGGAAAAACAGAATGCCAGCCATGTCCTAAGAACTACAGTACCGCCATCACTGGAGCTACCAACAAAACTGACTGTCGACGTAAGAATTGTTTTATCATTATCATTATCATCATCATCATTATCATTATCATTATTATTGTCATTGTCATTGTCATTATTATTATTATTTTTTATTATTATTTTTATTATTATTATTATTATTATTATTATTACTTTTTTTTTGGAAAGGGACAAATTCATATGCCTTTATTGAAACATAAACACGTTACACTTGACGAGAAATAAATTAATGCATTTACGTACAGCTCTATTACGGATTAACTTGACAAAAAGTTGACAGTTAGTGTAGTTAGAGTGGTTAGTTGGTTGCCGGGTTGGTTGGTTGGTTAGTTAGTTAACTTCTCTCCGTTCCAAGAGGCGCATTAGACAGCAACTCTCGCTCTTCAGGTTAACCAGCCCTGCCTTGTGCCACGCCCCAGGCTTCGACCCAGGACGCCCGCTCTTGTCTGCGCTTCTTGTCCTTCTCCCTGCAATACATAGCAAACATAGGTAATCTTTTCTTCTTTTGCTCTTATTACAGGAATCTGTCGTGCAGGTCGCTACTCTGTTAACAATGGTGTTTGTCCATGCAAACGATGCCCGTATGGAACCTACCAAGAAAATGAACAAATGACCAGCTGTAAAGCCTGCCCAGTCGGAACCAATACAACACGCACCGGAAGTACATCCATTGACCAATGCGTGTGTAAGTACTG